TAGTATTCGTCGGAAAATGACTGTTGAGAAGCCATCGACAGATGTCTGTCGTGTCCCGTAAGATATACGTAGATCCCCTCCATATATCCGCCGATGTCTCAGGTCAGTGCGAGTGTCTAATCTCCCGGCTGACTGTCTAATCGCATTTGATGATGACTCGACTTGACTCCACTCGATTCGATTCAATTCGACTCGACTCGACTCCATTCGATGCCATTCGACTTGACTTTTCCCGGCTTTCCCTCCGCATTTCCCGGTTTCCTGGCAGAAAGCGGCCTTAATCAATCATTGGCCCTCCCTCTCGCCTCCCGAACTTATCTATTCGGTTTCAATTAATTTTCCAGCTTTTATGCCAGCTGCATTGGCCACAAAATTTTGTTTAGCCAAGAGTCAGGGTTTGATTGGGGATTCCCTGAACTTTGAACTGGCCGAAAGCCCAGGCAATCGAAAGTTTGTCAAGTGTTTTGGGGTAAAAGTTTGGAAGTGACCTGAAAAGTGTGTTTGAGGAAATTTGATTCGATTAGATGGGATTTTTACTCCTGTTTTTGAACCTTTGTTGAGCAATATTTTGCGGAGCAAAGTTTCTTTTTGGGGCGGGCACACAGGTGCAAACAGAAGGTAAAACAACAGCAGTGGCCCAGCCTCAGAATTTGCATAAAAAAGTTTGTCATGCCCGAGGAAAAACGGGGAGAGTCGGGGAAAAGCCAGCACATGCATGTTTTTGTGTATATTAAAAATGAAAATGCTGCAAACGGTCGAGGAGCATCGGGAAAAGCCCCGTCTCCGGGTTCAACGTTACCGTCTGGGCTTTTCCATTTTCCCTTCAGGTGCGCATATAATATATATACATTTATGTATAAGTATATGCATGATCATGTCTGGATTAGCCTAATGAAAGCAAAGGCTCTGGCGAACAACAGCTGATGGAAAAGCCGGGAAAGCTGGCAAAATGTTAACAGTCAGTGCCAAGAAAGTGCTGTCATGAAAGGCGCTAAGACGCTGACAATGTGCGTTTTTCCTCGGGTGTTTTGCAAGTGGAAATTCAGCTGGGATTGGTTGGTTGTACCTGGAGTTCATGGTTAAGGAACCCTTTTTATCATATTTAAAATAATTTTTAAGAATGTCTGTATGTAACATAGGACACTGAAATTATTCCACTATATTAATGTTTTTATAAATTATTTGTATGTAAGGGCAACTACTTCATGGTACATCAAATATTTTCAAAAATGCATTTTTTAATTTAAAATATATTCTCAGATATATTTTAAAAATACTTTGGTTTTGTCAATTTTTTTTTAATTGTAGTATAATTATTTATTTTATCTCGGAGAGGGCATTTAAAAGTCGACTTCGGCTGCGCAGCTTTTCCGCTCAAACAACATGTGCTTACATGTGTGTAAGCGCATTTTCCAACGTGTCGGGGGCTCTGACATGCTGACGGCAACATGCAACACGAGCCACCGTTCGCAGCAGCAACACCAGCGACATCAGCAACACAGACGTGCAACTACAAAGGGGAAAATGGGATGGGCTGGGGTTGGGGTTGGGGAAAACCTTACCATGAAAATCCTTCAGAGTCGCGTCGAAACATCCGCGTGACGACGTCATCGTCATCGTCATCGTCCTTGTCTTCCATTGTTGTTGCTGCCAGTAGTGTTGGCATTGTTGTTGCTAGTGTTGCTGCTGCTGCCGCCGGCAGACATTGCTGCAAAGATTTACGGAAAGTTTACAGCCTCAGACATTTGTTGTGGCTTTTATAAATTGTGTCTGTGCGTGGGTGCCAAGGTGTATTATTTTTCCCTCTATTTTTTGGTGGCTCAGGTGGTTGAAAGGGGGCGTGGCAGGGCCGTCTTTGTTGCACTGCAGTTGCAACAGCAGCAGCAGCAGCAGCAGCAGCAGCAACAGCAGCAACACGGAACACGTTAAGCGCATTGCCATTTGTGCCACATCACGGAGAAAGGTGGGGGAATCCCCTGCCACTGAACCATTCATGGGAATCCCCGCAGCTGCCAGCAAAAGTTGTCCAATTCACCAAACAAAACAAAGCAAAGAATGTATCGAGAAAAAACAAGCAGCTAAATATTATATATATATTTGTGTGTTTACAAAGGCGAAAATAAAAGAGGGAAACTGAATGCCTTTGTGCAACCGAATGGCTTAAGCGGGATTTATCGGCATGCCGAAAGGTGAATTCGATTGATGGCTCGATATGGATGAGCGATGATTGGGGCTATTATAGTAAGCGGAAATATATGAGTCCATCTTTTAGTTAACTGGCCGATTAATCTGCGGCTAAGGGGTAGTTACTTGTAATGATTTAGTTACCTGTACAATAAACCAGTAGTTAAGGGAAAGTAACTTATAAAATATAGTCTATACTATACCTTTTCTAACATATTACCTTTATTTAGGGCACCAAGTGAATTACATTTTTCTAATATCTAGTTTGAAATAAATCAGTATCTTAATATTTTTAATTTGATTTATTTGTATTACCTTATATTATTTCTGAGACAGTTATTTACAATTCATGCACGCTTACTATTTGAGTTCCTTTATTTACTTGAATCCTAATTTATAGTAGAAAAGCATCCCAGATCTCAGTTTAAAGGCGGACTGCATCTATAGCATTTCACGACTCCACGACTCCATCCATCACCCATCAATTTTTCACATTTATCGATTACGGTTATTAATCATTCCCTTTCGGTGCGATTCGGTGCACCTTTGTCGACTCATTCGATGCTGAATCCCTCGGCTTAAGCGCTTTCAGCTTGTTAAATGCGTTGCTGGCAAATTGCATTCCCCATTTCCCCCCATTTCCACCATTTCCCATTTCCCTGCCGTTTTGCACTGCCACCCACATTTTCCCACCCACTTCCTGACAGGACGCAGATGTTGCCGCGGTGGTGCGAGCGAGATGGATAGCTCAACTCGCGCTGTAATTAACATTAATTTCGTATAAACTTTGGCACATTGCGTATACGCCATGTGCGCCTGGCCTTTTCAATTGTCTGTCACTCGCAGTTATAATATCATACAGCATGCGCTGGGAATTGAGCCAGGAAGCAATATTTCAGGCTGTTCTTGAGCTTCAAGTCAAGACATTGGGCTCATAAAAATAAAAAATATCTAAAATAAATATGGTTGCATCAAATTCAGGAAAAAACTGAAATATGACCTCTAAAAAATCCAATTTAAAATTGATCAAAATGTAGGACTTATATTTCGATATGTTTAATAATATCAGTTTATAATAATAACATAATCATACGAGAGGTTAAAATATTTTCAGTACAATTTCAAAGAGTTCAAAATAATTTCTTCTGACGAAGTCGAAACTGAAGATTCATTTTTATTAAGATTTCCCACTGTCATACAGTTACTTTCTCTCAGTGGAGAGGCGATGCTAGATTGTCGTAGCACACAAATTAACTCCGAGCACAATTGTTTTACACATTGTTGTCTGGCTTGTTGTTAAGACACCGGCAGGGAAATGGAAATCTTTCTGTGAACCCGATGCTTAACCCCCTGCTGCCCTGCGGGGTTTCCCCGTGTGTGCGTGTAAATATGGCAGCTCAAAGTTTAATTTTCCTCAATTAACCCTTCAGAACCCATGTCTTGTTTGTTCTTTCACGCGAACACCTCTGGATTCCCGATTCGTTGACTAATTTGGCTCTCCTTCTTTTCGTTACAGGTGAGTTTTGCCACTGACAATGGGTTAACCTCCCCCGACCGGCTGTCAAATTGTGAAAACTCAGTTAAAGTAAGGGTAAGCAATGGAAATCCGCCTTAAAGATGTCAGCAGAGGCGGGGATACAACGGCTTTGGCTTGTTTGCGATTTGCGGTTGGCTGCACTCTCGACTGACAATTGCAGCTCAAAAGCTCGAAGGGGGAAAGCAACAGACGCTGGACGGGCTGGAAAATGGGGGAAAGCCCGGGGAAATATGGCCAGGAAGAAGGTGGAGTCTTCCTCTCCAAGCTAATAAGTAAAAGCAAAGTAAAAGGGAGAAAGCCATAAACAAATGGCGCATGCACGTGACTCAACTCGTTTCTTTTATTGCTGCCCCAAGTTGCACGACAAAATTTTGAGGCGAAGTTCCTGAAAATATTGCTTAAGTTAGACAGCTTTCCTTATTTATTTTATAATTTTTTTTTATCATAAATTATTAAAATCTTTTAATAAAATATTTACTTAAGATTATATTCCTTAAGAGAGATTTTAAGTGGGTTCTTGAAACCTTAAAAAAATAACTAACTATTATATTGTGATTTGTATCAAAAAATTAAATTGTTTTTTTTTTTCTTTCAATTTTTATAATACATACTTGTTGGTTTTAGTCTGCGCCGGTTTATTCCATTGTCGATTTGAAACCAAAGGAGTTGCCGGTGGGCGGCAGTGGAAATGGGGGCGTGGCTGCAGGGAGTTCGGAGTCCTAGTCCGACTGTTGCTCTCTCCCTCTGACGCCAGCAGCCCTCTCTTTCTAGCCTTTATCTGCATTTCGTTGTTCTACAGAGGGAACTTGAGTTTTGTTTGTATTTAGCTTTGTCTTGTATGTTGACACATTTTTCTTTCGCATTTTCCTTTGTGTATGTGTGTGTCTGAAACCGGAAATTACAAATGCAACAAAATGTTCTCCAGGGTTTTGATGTTGTTGTCACAGTTGCGGTACAGGAATTCCCCAGAAATCGACACTAAAAGGAATAATCCTATCATATCCAAAACATTAAATCAAACAGAACTATTAAATTTAAAATAATCACCTAAAACTAGAAAACAACATATAGAAAACAGCTATACCGAGTGTTTTAGACTAATACAATTAATAGCTATTGAAATAGTAAACATTTTTATTAAAATATATTTCAATCACATAGACATTGTAAGAAGAGAACTTGGCAATATTATCCATACCAAATATGAGATAATATTATATTTAAAAGCACCTTTTCAAATGTATCTAGTAAGCAGTAGATATTTCCTTCATCATACCAGTAACACTTATCCAGTAAACCAGTAAGAAACCATTGAAGTATAAATCAGTAGTGAGATCTTTCAACACAACAGTATCATTCGATTTTGAGCGGTAAACACTTCGACTCGCACAAAATCTCCCATAAAATCCCCAGTTCAAAACACATTTTCCAAAAGCAGAAGGCATTTTCCGAAATGGAGAGCGACGAGGGCGTGGGCGAGCGACCATCGACTTCTGGGGGCAAGGCCATGGACAGCGGATCGGGGATCGGGATGTCGGCCATCCTGGGCTACGCCCAGTCGGAGTACTCGCTGGACACCAGCTCTGGGGCCGTGATGGCCAGTCGGCGGCACCTGGAGAGCGAGAACGACGGGAATGCCACCGACGAGGAGGTTGAGATCTGCATAACCCGCCTCAACTTCCTGCCCGATCGGGCCAGGCGACTGTACATGGACTGCCAGCTGTCGCTTCCGGCGGGCGGAAGTGTCCCGATGCGCGGCGGGGCGGAGACCCTTTCCGTTTCCGCCGTGGAGAGCAGCAGTTCGCCGGAAGTGCGCTATGAGCGCCAGAGAAACACGGCCGCCGAAGTGCAGAAGTACTGGCGCCTGCAGAAACTGGCCTTCGCCTGCCCCCTCGGCAACTGCGATTTGGTGGTCAATCCCGGCAGTCTCCTGAGCCACTGCCTCATGTCGCACGAGGATGTGATCAGCGTGGAAATGAAGGTCGGCGAGGCCAGGGGCCTGAAGCTCATGGGCAAGTCCATGCCAGAATCGCGGGACAAGAGCCAGTGCGTGGGTCTGCTGATCTACGAGAGCGGCAGGCAGGTGGCTCTCAACTCCAATCTGCCCAGGATCTACACGGACTGGGAGTGCCGTCTGCCCGTCCTCATAATGCTGTGGAAGACCTCCTGGGACTCAATGCCCGGCAGTCCGCGGGTCACCCATCTCTACATCCTCTGGCTGCTCTGTCCCCAGGCTCAGTCGCCCCTGCAGGTGACCGTCTCGACAGAGGCGGGTCTTCCGGGAGCGCCCCGCCGCCAGGTGATCCACACCTGCTCCGACTCGGAGACCATCGAGAAGTGCGACCTGCTCTCCGACAGCCCGCTCTTCATGCGGTTCACCCATCGCGAGATGAAGGAGCACACCGAGGACTACTCTCAGGACATCGAGCTGCAGTTCACCATCCACGAGGATGAGACAGTGGTGGCCCCCAACTCTCCAGAACCCATGAAGGAGGATCCTTTGGACCCAGATGAGGAGCAAACTACGGTGGAAATCGAGGTGATTGCCGACATTGAAGTACTGCCAAGTGAGGAGACATCCAAGGAGGAGCTTGGCATGGAGAAAGCTGAAGAACCAACTGAAGACTCCACTGAAGATCCCACTGATGATCCAACTGAAGATCCCACTGAAGATTCCACTGAAGCCCCCATGGACGATCCATTCGGAGATCCCTTTAGAGATACCTCAGAATTCGCCGAACAATCCCAGTAAAATCGTGTTTTTAATCCCATTTTATTCACTTGCATATGTATTCAGCCCCTTTTCCAAAAGAGATTTTTATTTATGATTTTAAATTAGCCCCAAAATTAAGTCAGTGTGGAAAATAAAGCAAAGTAAAGAAACTTTATATTTACGAATCTAAGTTTTTAAAGGAAGCCTAAAATTAATTAGAATTAAAAAATTAATAGTGAAAAGTCATTTGACCCTTGGAGAATTTGAAACCCTTTTTGCCCACACTCATGCGATTTAAATATTCCCTATTAATTGAAAGATGGTCGCTTGTGTACGCATTTCCCTGTCAATTTTGACACTTTCAATTACAGAGAAATGAGCATAAAACTGCAATTAATTTAGTTTATTTAAAACAAAGTTTGGCTCATCCAATTATTTAGTTAAAATGAGACTGGAAACAAAATAGTTTGGAAATGCCATGAAATCAGCTCTTTGAGCACAAACTTCCGGGCATGCAAAAGTGCAGCATACCTACTATAATTTTGTGTAATTTTCTCGACCAGACTGACAGCTTAATTTAATTATTCTTGAACACAAATGTTGTGGCAAACTCGCCCACTTAACCCACTGTGTGTTTGCTTGGCCAAAAAGCAGTTCGCCTGAAATTTTTCGCTTACGCCGCAGAGTATGCAACATGTTTGCCATGTGGCAAAGTCGCAAAGTGGGGGGCGGGGCGTCGAGTGAGAGGGGGTTTTGGGGGCTTTTGGTGTCCAGGTCGTTGGCAGCCATTAGCAGAAATGTCGTCGCAAAAAGGGGGCGTGGCGGGCTGAGGGTGGAGTAACTGCATCAACAACTTTTTAACCAACTTGCCAGCCCAGACTAACAAGACCGCAGAAGTTGTGGGCAGGGGCGTAGGGAACGGGGGGCAAACTAACTAACTCGATGCTTTCGCCTGCCACTTGTAATATAGCGTTATTGTTGCAACAACATAGGCGGGGGTAGTGGGGCAGTGGGGGTGGGGTCATTTTGGCTCCTTTGTCCGCGAAATACTTTTTCCTCCTATTTTTTGACTGCAAAAAAATTGTAAGCTCAACTTCAGCTGCAGAGATTTTTCGGTCAGCGTTAATGCAGCAGTGTTAACCCCTAAAAGCCCCCCTACTTCACCCATCCCTCTTCAAAGGACGCTGAACGCTTTATGGCCAAAGCTCCAAGCACTGGGAAAAAATACTGGTTAAGATATCCTAACAAAGTTTTCTTTCTTGAATCATAATTGCTGATTTATACTTCAAATGAAGTAGAAGTAAAGGCATTACGCATTATTATAGCACAGTATTAAATATATTTATAAAAATATAATTAATAAGTAGCAATTATTACGTGTAAAATATCTAACATTCTTTATAAAACATAGCCATATTTTGATAAATATAATATTTAGTATTTAAATAAATGGTTGTTTAAAAAATAATAACTTTACACCTTAAATATTAATTACCCCACAAATCAGTAGGGTTAAGAAATCACGTTTGGTGTCTAAAAATATGCAACAATATATTGTGTATTCAGAATTTATTGAAGTTATTTAGGTAGATGACTATTTTTATTCACTGCATACTTTTAGGCGCTTAGGTGACATAGTAATTATATGAAATCATGTTTAAATGTCATTTTAAGTGTCTAAAAGTATGCAACGATAAATTTTATACTCGGAACTTCAATGAGTTCATTCGGAAAGACGACTATATTTACCGACTGCATACTTTTGAGCGCCTAAAACCGTACTAATTACATGAACCCAATATGGACTGGGATCATTTTCTGACGCACGATCTCCCCCTTTTTTGGGCAGTGCATCCCCGCGGTCAGTTCCATTGCGGTCTGCTCATCTGTGTCCGTGTCTGCCAAGTTTTGGTGCCCCCCTGAGCCCCGCCCGCAGCCCCTGCCAAATAGTTGGCAACTTTCTGTGTGTGTACTATATAACACAGGGTCCCCCTCGGACACTTTAAATTGCACACAAATTGGCAGAAATGGCTGTTGCCAGAGTTCCATTTTTGGCCGTTGCCGCTGCCTTTGACAAGTTTTTGCCTGCGAAAGTTGCTTTTCCACACAAAACGGGATAAAAAGAACGCATTTTAATAAAACTAAGACAATAACGACTTTGTGTCTCCTTTTGTTCGCTAGTTTTCCCTGCATTTTTTGCCGATATTTCCCCGGCTTTGTCGACCATTTTTATTTATTCTTTTCTGTTTTTTGTCTGGTCTTCTTGACTTGGAGAATTAAGTGCTGTGGTTTGATGTTGTCCATTGGCCAGCCGCAAAATAAGTGGCAATTGAACATTTGATTGCACAGTCAGTCGGAGAAGTTTGCCGCCGATCTTGGAACTTTGAAACACTTATTATTCAACACCCCAATTGCCTGGCCTTAATTATTATATCTGCTTAATTTGTGTGTTCGTTTGTTTGTTTGTTATTTGCCAACTTAACTGGCACAACATTCGGCTATAATTGTTGTACAAATTGTAATTTGTTCGCCTGTCTTGCCGGCCCTTAACCATTAATCATACAATGGCATTCAATTTATGTTTATTTGTTTTCATGGTTTGTTGTTTTTCGTTTGAACAGGCCAACTAACCAATTAAATAATGTAATTTCAATTTGCATTGACAGAAACAGGGCAGAAATTTGCACGAAAGTGTTGCCTGCTTTTTGGGGCGGCTTCTGGCGGAGGGCCTTGTTTTAAATTGTTTAATATTTTTGTTTAAGCTAATATTGGGCTAGCGATTTCCATTACTGATTGGATAGGTAAATAAAAGATAGTGCAAATAAAGAGGAGAGCTCCAAATAAAATACCTAATTTAATTCGGTGCGATGTGGAATAATATTTAACCTGGGTTGGGCGATTAAAGAATAACATCTATCTCAGTGCTACAAGCCTGAAAATATTTTTACCGCATTAGTTACGATATGATTTGTCAAGTTTAGGCAATGCATTTATGTTATGTGTTTTTAAGTTCTTACTATTTAACTTAAGGCATTTTTTATAGTTTGGTTCAAACTAAATGGTTGGGTATCTAATGCTGTAAGGCGTTGAAGTATTTATTCCTGTTCGAGCGTAAGTAAATTTATAGTTGTCCTATTTCTTAAAGTAGTAACTTATTTCTTTAGCAATATTCAACATATGATTTTCAAAATTGTATATTATGTTTTCACTGAACTTCGACAGTTTTGTAGATCATATTTTCTAATTGAGCCAGTAAATATTGTATGACTCCTTAAACATTTTTTAAATGACGCATCATTCGAAATACCTAAGAGTCAAGCATCGTTGTTTATATATTAAAATAACTAAAAAATAACTTGTTAAAAGTTATAACTTACATCTGTCAATAACATCCCCTATTCTTGTCTATTCAAAATAGGGCTTTATATTAGTTAGTTTGATTTAAAAAAAATGTTTAAAAATCTATAAATAAAGGGAATTACAAAGAGTAGCAGATATAAAATCCTTTCGGTCATGTATCTTAATACAAATATATTTGAAAAACCTTTGTAATTTATTGGTCATGGTTTAGGACAACTATTCGTGGGCTGTTGCTGCGACATCCATCAAATATTGGTATTTAAAAGCTGGCAACTGGTAATTTCTGGGTCACTTGCCGGGCCACGTTCTCCAGTGCTCCAGTGCTCCGCCATTCGCAGGAGCAGGAGCAGGACAATAAACGCCAGCAGTCACCCTTTGTCCTGGGTCCTGCGTCCTGCGACCTGCATCCTGGAAGGGGGTGCCCTGCGCCAGGCAGGCTGCGTGAATTACGAGGTTAATTAGAAGTTTGACACGAGGCATGGGGCACTTACAATATGTACATGGAATAAATATATATGCGCACACAGGGTCCAAACGAGGAGGCTGCTGGAGGATCCTGGGTGCTGGGTCCTGGGTCCTGGGTCCTGGAACAGGAGCAGCTGTCGTTGCAGTTCGAGGCACGTACGTGGCCCACACACACACACACACACAGACAAACTAACACACACACAGTCTGCATAAATAATGCAAGAGTGTGAAAAGACACACACTGACGCAGGGCAACATTTGCTTAGCTTTGCAGGCAGCAGTTTTCAATATCAGCCTAGCAACTGAGCTGGGAAATGGAAAAGCCCCTGCCCCCTCCTACTCCCACTGCCACGCCCACTTGGCCAGCTTGCACTTGTTTATCATTTATTACTGCAGTCGGAAAATCTGTTTCAGCTCCTTCTGCATTTCACATTGTTTGTCTTCTGTACACTCGCCCATGTTTTCCTACCATTCCATTTGGCCCGGCATTTCACCAGAGTTTTTCTAGATTTTCCACTCCTGCTGACATTTTTGCTGGCTGCTGAAAATGTTAAATTGAATGTGGCAAAAGGTATTTTTGCACGATAAAAATGGTAAATGTCACCAGAGGTAACTAAATTGTGTTTATAAATGTTGTTTGTCCTGCAATTCGGGTCGTTGGTTGGCCAGGAATTAAATTTGCTCAAGGGTCCGTGTCAAATAGACGGCATTAAATTGGGGAAAATGTTGATAGAGAAATAGAGAGAATTAAATACCAATATTTAAGGTTTCCATTCGATAGATAATTGAATTGGATTTTACAGGCCTACCTCTGGTGTTTTTATTTTTTCTAGAATTATTGTAGAGCATTCTGTTAGAAGCAATTTTATCTTAATTTATTGTAGACCTAATAGTTTCCTTTTTTATATTTTAGATGTTAATATAACACCGTTCCATCCAATTTAATGCCCATTTTACACTGTTTTCAAGTTTTTAATGTTGCGAATCGGGGGTGGTCTTTAATTTAATTCAATTAAATTTAACAAATATATATGCAGGCGCTGCAATTCAATTTCATAACCAAAAGTGGAGGGCACACACAGACGGGCACGCACACAACTGCAGGTGCAATTGCATCTGCATCTGTATCTGTGTGGGTGGCTGCGTGGGTGTGTGAGTGTGTAGGTGTGTGGGTGTGCACCTCGCTTCTTGTTCGGTTGATAAAGTTCATTTACCTTTTGGCGTTTATCTAAATGCCCCCTCTCTTTCTGGCTGCCTAGTGCCGTCTCCCTCTTGCAGTGGCAAAAGTGTAATTGTCTATCTTATGCTTTACATTTGCACACAGATACACACGTGCACTGGGAGAGAATCTATCTAGTAATAGGAAACTGTTTTATTTTTAAATATAAGAATAAATGACTTTTCACTTCTGATTAAATAAATACTTATTAATAGGTATCTATTTTTTAACTTTGCTTTAACTTTGTTTACTTGCATTCGTGAAGTCTGCGACTTCCTTTATCCTTTTCTCCCAGTGTCTTCCCCCTTGAATGTGTGTGCTCTTGAGCATGTGTGTGTGTGTGCTTGAGTGTGTGACATTAGTGCAGCGGGTCATGCCCACTCTTCCTCTTCTTCGCCATCTGCAGCTGGCATTTTCGCGCAATTTGAACTTGGTTTTATGGGCAAAGTCGCAACAAAATGAAATTTGCAAAATTAAGCCAAACTCGGATGGGTAAAGTTTTAATTTTGGATTTCAGTTCAAAGCATTTCTAGTTGGACAGGGCTAGCTTGAAACTTCTCTGCTCGCTGCCTTCAATTTTCTCCCAACCATTTAATTTATTTATAATATTATCAATTAAAACGAGACAAACTGAGAAAAAATGTGGGCTTAATTTATTTATCACAAGAATAGTTTTGGTTGCTCCCCTGCCATTAAGTTGCTTTGATTATTTTATACCGGGCCGATGGGCAAAAGGGAAAACCAATGCAATGCCGACTTAATAAAGGCTTTCATAAATATGCGGAATATCCCTTGCAATTAACCCATTTGGAATTTAATTTCGAGTTTGTTTCGCTTTCGATTCAATTTCCATTTCCAATTTGATGCAATTAGCTGAAGTTCTGTGCAGAGAGCGAGCCCGATAAATTGAATTTAATTTGCCCGCCTTTCCCCATTTTATTCCGCCTCAAAGGTATATATTCGCGAATATATATATGTATATATTCGCGCAAATATCGGGCATTGTGCGGTTGTTGCAGTTAACATTTATTGCCTTTTTATACCTTCGCGCTGTTAAATTAAATGTTTTATTTCCCATTTTGCAAGGGGGCTGTGGGGCTGAGGGGCTGAGGGGCTGTGGAAACCCTCTTGGCATTCCATTTCAATTTCACTTGAAAATGCACTTCGAATCGCACACAAACACAACGGATCGCGAGCCACTCGGAAATCAGAGAAATCAGAGGAGCGCGGCCAAACGCAATTACACGGTCCCGGCTGCCATGGGTTAAGGCAGCGTGGGGTTAAGGGTAGCGGGGGTGGGGCAGCTGGTCCATATAAAGCATGGGCAAAACTTCATTACTAATTCCATTTCGAGCACAAATTCACCCACATATGCTCGCAAATGCCATTGGAAATTGTACGCAATTTATTTTTGAAATCTCATCTGCAGATGGGAGGAATTCCATGGGTCCTGCGGTGGGCTAGAGTTCGATTTCGGGATAATCAAAGGGAAAATTGCCAACGTGCTGGCGGAAAATTGAAGATTGTGAGATTTCAAGATTTTAATTTTTGCTAAGGTAAAACTTTATGTTTAACTTTTTATATTTTTTAAATATTTTTATTTATATGCAAGCTATACTTGTATATATTTTTCAATAAATTAATTTATTTTTTAATCCAACTAAATCCAATGTAGACACTTTCTCTCAATTATTGCACACTAAGTGAAATCTGTAAAAAAAACTTTTACATCTCATCTCATTTGCACCGCTTTTTCTTCACAGCCCAAGGATTTTCGCGTCCCTAAATTCAAGTGAAAAACGGAGAACCGTTCGCGAATTTATTCATCAATTTGTATTCCCATTCCGCGGTTCAATCAATTGTTGCCGGTCTCTCTATTTCTCTAGCCGCCTATTTCCCTGGCAATATCTCCTCTATCGCTTCTTCCGCCACTCGGCAACCGCTTTTCCCGCCAACCCCCAGCTTTTCCCCAGTTTTCCATGGCTTTTCCTTTTGCTGCTCACGATTTGGTGCACCCAATCGACCCATAAACCCAGTTATTTACTTAGAAGCGCCTTTTAACATTTCTTTTTTTGCCACTGCTGCCGCTTCTTCTTCTTCTGCTGCTGCTGTTGCAACGGTTTAATGGCAACTTGGCGTCGCAGTCGCAGTCGCAATCGCAGTCAACGTCGCAGTCGCTGCAGTCGGCTTTTTGCATTAAATCAACGCGCGACCACCGCCAACAATAATCAACAAAACAGAGCGCACAGAGAAAACTTTGGCCGCAATAAAAGCCGGCACCACCCCCACCCAATTTCCCAAGATTTTCCACATCCCACACTGCAACAAAAATCGAGATTATTTGATTTGTGATTCTTTTCACACTTTACACTTGCGTGGAAAGTTATTAATTTAAAAAAAACGATAATAATAAAAAAATAACCTTGCGCTTTTCCTATTATCTATACTGCTCGGTTACTATTTTTAAAATCATAGTTTCTATTGAATTGTTTATTCTATTTGGTTATCAATTCTTGCGCTATCAATATTCCCTGTATATTTTATAGATCCTATTTTGTTAAAATTAAAAATGATATTTTCTGTCCGATTGCTATATTTTATGCAATAAATATTTCTTGCATATCTAAATATATTTTATTGATCAAATAAGTTCATATTTTAGCCTGGCCCACTTTATTCTTTGCAGTGTTCGCAGCCCACAATGCAGTGCAACCAATCTCAATTGCAATTCGAACTCCAATACGAGAATTCGTTTCAATTTGTTGGTCACCCAACATCCATCGCCCCCTTTTTTGCGGAACCAACCGCAATCGTGGGGGATTTTTGATGGGGGGAAGGGGCATGGACAGGTGGGTGGGCTTGCCAGTGGGTGGCTACCATCCTGCCGAGAATTGATTCGCGCCGAGTCGCGCCGCATGCAAATAAGGTCAACGTGCGCTGGCCAAAAGCCGCCAGTCAGTCAAGGAGCGGCTGAGACGAATGCGGCTGAGCCAGCGGCCCATTCAGGCGCTGCACTGCGAGAAAATGGGGTTCTAAGCAGCCCAAAAAAATATGTGCCAAATTCAGATGAAGCTCCTTGGGGAATACAGTATGGGTCATGTTCAAAATAATATTTTATTAATTATTATTTATTAAACAAGCAAAAAAGATACAACTGTACAGATCCCGGCTTAGAAATATAATATACCATACTTTTAACCGCTATGTGCGAGACTTCAAGTTTATTAGTTATGAAACACACTGAAAAGGTGAAGCTTAAGCAGTTTCCGGCTTATAAATATGTAGCATTCTTTTAGTCACCTTTGTGCAAGAACTTTGTGGCACAACTTATTAATGTGGCAGACGTTGTATCTTAAAATGTGATTGCCTTTTAAAATGCTTTGTAGAAATCCATTACTACTGCTCCTTATCTTGCAGTGCAGCAGTGCCGGAAAGTATGCAACACTGCGCCAACCGCTTGACTGAATGACGGTTGATGGTTGGGTGGGAAGGGAATGGGTTCCGGGTGGTTTTCGGGTTGTTTTCAGGGGGTTTCGGGTGGTGCGGTGTGGGGTCTTAGTGTCGGTTGCCTTGTCTGTGGCGCTTGTTTGCCACGTTGCCATTTGGCACATTTCGAATGAGCGAACGAACGAATGAGCGTGGCACAGAACAAGATGAACCGGCGGAAGGGGAATGGAAGGGGTATGGAAGGGGTATGGAAGGGGTATGGAAGGGGTATGGAAGGGGAACGGAAGGGGAACGGGGACTTCTCTTTGGTCTTTGCCGTTGTTGTGCAATTGCAAACATTTAGCATGGCGACCTAAAACAGTTGGCACACAAACGAACACGCTACAACCGGGAAAAGCGAGGAGAGGTCTTTAAAATGGCGCAAAAAGAAAGTGTGGGGAAAGTGGGCGCAGGAAAAGCTGGGCAGAAAACCATAAATTCAAATCGAAATGAATAATTGAGTCGGCAGCAATGACCACCAAAACCTAATGATTCTAGGCGTCATTGCATCGTTGTAATATTTGTAGATATAACAAAATTTAAGTAAGTCTTGTTTTTTCTTGGAAATCCCCATTTAAGTAATCAAAAAGTCGCTTGGATGTATCATAAATTTCTTAAGACTCACTTTATTTTGATATTTTTGCTTTCAATAGAGCTCGCCATTTAATTAAAGCCATGTACCATTTATAAATTGCATAAACACCTGGAGCCATTCACAAATTGCTGTGAATTGAATGAATAAATGAACTGGGGGCCGAGGACCATCTTCATTTCCCCCCTTTTCATTTCATATAACCGGTATATATTTTCGCATTTATTCAGGCTCAGGCTGTGAATAACATTTACCCACCCACTCGAGCGCCTGGATGGAACTCACAAATCAACAAATTTGAGATTTAAATTCAGTTTACCCACCACACGAATCCCCCCTTTTATCCGCAACCTGTTAATGGCTTGCATTTTCATTCATACAAATCTCATAATGGATAGTGCGACAGAGACAGCCAGAGGGCGAACGAGAGAGATGGAGGTGACAGGTGGACTGGTGGGGGAAAATTGCATTCTAATGAAAAGCATTTAAGACAAAATCAACAACAGAATTGGCCAAAAAACGCAAACAAATCCGGAGTGGCAGGTGGGAGAA